TTTTTTTTTTTTTGTCTCTGTGCCTTTGTTCTTCTCCGCACGATGATAAGCCACGACCAGAGACCGTGATCTTGAGCTACGTCTTTAGAAATTAAACGACGATAAGAAAGCGTCGTGGCTCACGGGGCGCACTGGGGAGAACTGTAAACCTTTTACCATCGAGGTAATTACGGGCATTTGAGACCCGTCACAGGAAACACGAACTTTCCATTCCACTATCGACTTACGGCTGCCCGTTTGAAAGTACGTGGACACTTACCATATTTATGGAATTCCTGATAAATAGATTGTGCCGGCGAGGTTTAGCGTTCAAACTTTATGCCAGCGCGTTTTATTTCCTAACTTTTTAATGAAGTATTAATGGGGAAGGTGTTTTATTACACAGTCTTATTTCTACCTGTACATAGAATAATAAACTTCTGCGGACATTATATAGAATGTATTATTACTGTCGAATGTTTTTATGAATATTTTAGAAAAGAAATGTTTATAAATGTTGAATGAAAAATTAAATGACAGGTGGTCAGTATTAATATAGTGATTGTTCCATTATAGTGTGACGTTAATATAGCCGATATTTCAATATTTGGCAGACGAGACTTGCAATTGAACGTTTCTATTTTACCAAAAAAAAAAAACACAGTGGTAAAATAGATCCAGACTGTCTTGAAAAATTCTGGTCCTAAATTTAGGATACGTCTGAGTGTTCTTCCTCAAATTTTTGTTCTTCGAGTCGTACTGTGCTTACGAACTCGTTGTCGGGAGAGATGGAAAAAAAGAGAGATCCAAGTTATCGAGAAAGAGAACGTAGCAAGCAAACGCTCGAAGCAAAACGGCGAAGGCCAAGTTAAGGGATAAAGTTGTCGACGAAGGTGTGCCTCGCGACTAATTCAATAACGCGTTACGTATAAACGGTTGACGACTGGCCAAATAGAGAGATGGGCCAGCGAAAAGGTAGCAGGGCTGGCAATAAAGTTAGCAGTCAGGGCCGGCCAAGTCTAGGGCTGCAAGAGTTGAGAGAGGGCGCGGAGTTGGCCGTTGGAAAATAAGATCAGAATTGATGCGAATTCACGGCACTTGGGTAGTAGAGGCGAGGTAGACAGAGAAAGATAGAGAGTCGTTGCTATTTGCAATTTACTCACCTTGACGCGCAGAAGGTGCTGCAGACTTTGAGCTTGGCTGCTATTTAAGGGTGGATTGTCAGTCCCGAGACGCGCCACTGCAATCACGTTCTCTCGGGTCGCGTTGTACAGGAACAGCGTGCACA